CTTCAATCTCCTTTCGGAATCTTTTTATTTCTTGAACAGCGGAAACGAATTCTTCAGCACATAGTTTCTGGCGTGTCCCGGTTGCCATTATCTTGGAATCAACCTTTGTTTGGAGTTCCTTGAGTTTTACCAGGATAGCTTTATATTCCTCGCCGTTGATGAATTTGTCAGCTATATCTGGGATACACTCAACATGACATGCATTGTGGTCAATTACCATGCAATTACCGCACCCGACTGTATCATGATCTCTGCAGAAGTACTTGATTATCTCTAATTTGTGTTTATTGCAGGTCGAAGTACATAGTTGTTTGACGGTTTGTGTTTCGACATTCTTCGGCATATTAGCCTTATCCAGAATAGTATGATGTTTACTGACAGTTACTTTGCGGTGATATTTGATACACGTTTTACACAGATATTCCTGGCAGTTCTGACAGAAACCATCGGCTTTTAAACTCTCACCGTCAGCTTTACATGGTTGACATAACACTCCATGACATTTAGATGATCCCGAAGATGACGTAAGACCTTGAGCTCTATCTCTGGTCTTTCCGGGTACCTCCATTGTCTGCAGTTTAAAGTCTTCTATAAATCAATTAAATGCTGTAATACGATATTACTTGACAAATTCAATTCGAATATATCGTGTATACTCACAATATTTAGTGCACACACCGTCGTATAATTTTCGTCTAATGAAATGATATTTGATTGAAGTTTAGTTTAAAATGTTGATAAGATAATGATTTGAATTACATGTATGTTTATCTCTGTCATATCCCACTAATCTATCCCATGTTATCATTGTGTATTTGATACGATTGTACTTGTACACGTATGTTATTGAAGAAATGAGAGTACATGTATAAAAATCAGATAACTTTATCGAAATCATGTGTAGAAAGTTGTTAAATCAGTACAGGTGAAATTTTAGAATGATTTTATAAACTTCTAGACATGCATTCATTGGATACGATGCACTTCCTCTGTATTATCACAAAACATCCCGTACAAATACTTCAATGAATTGGCGACAAATTGACATGATATCACTTATTTAACACCTTATTGAATATAACCAATGCACTTTTAGCGTAACAAACTAATTCATTATTGGATCCATTATTATGAATTTAGCCTCATTTTCATTTCAGAGTGCAAAACGTCCATACCAAATCCATATCGTAACCCATATAGCGCCGTTTTCATTTACCGAGTCCAAAAGATTCATATAGAATTAATATCGCTCTCTCATTTAGCCTTATTTTAATATTTAGAGTCCATAATAGCTTTATCAAATGCATATCATACTCCATCTAGCCTCGTTTTTCTTCTTGAGAGACCAAATTTCGATATCGAATCGAATGTAATCAAAGTAATAAAGTTCTGTCAAAATATCAATAACAAAAATGGTGTTGTAAAAAAAAAGGTCATTAAACAGTTTTAGAACGATATTGAACTCTAGCACAGCTGCAAAACCTATATCAGACCAGCCTCGCACCACTGACAGCTATTGACCCAGCAACCTTATAATATAAGGTTAGTAAAGTAAATTATCTTTAAAGGCCCAATATGCCTCAGAATTATTTCATTTCTGACGTCCTGTTAAAGTTTCCAAAAAGTTTCTCATTGGCAAATTGTCTTGACCATATTTTGCTTTTGTTGCTTATTGACAGTTAACTATAGTAACAGTGATTTATTTCAGTAATTTGTATAGAAGTCAAAATATTACTTTGTTTACATTTCGCTACTTTTATGACAAATAATGTAACATTCAGTGCTCCTTTCATCAGGTGATAAACAACTAACACGCTTTAAAACCATAAATTAAATGTCATAAAACTCGTGTTTGCCCTTTCTTAAGAATGAAAACAATATTTGTGTCTGAGGCATATTGTGCCTTTAAGAGGTGTGTTAATTGTGATTTAAACAACCGACGACTAGTAGAGTTTCTTATTTCCTAAAGAAAAGTGTTCCATAACTCCATATCAGAATAATAATAATACATGTAATACTTGTCAAATTTTTATTTCCAAAATTTTAAACTCCACACCAGAATACATGAATAATAAAATGTCTGTTTCAAATGAATTAAGATTTAGACAATTCATGATCGGACAGTCCTGCTGCATTGTAATTTGTGGGACTGATCTATTGCTATTGATGTTGATCTGATCTGCAAAATGTGTCAAACAGTCTAACACACAGGTAGTCTTTAAATCAACGATTCAATTGATATAGTTTACGCATAAGGAATAAATAAAAAGAACACAGTGACATTTGTCATAAAAAATTCATGTGTATAGATGTATTTACACACGTTGCCAGGCAACTTACCGCGTACATGGTTGAGCGGGGTTATGATTGTAGCCTGTGTTTGATTTTGGCGGAGATGTGCACGTGAAAAGTATGATACATGTATATGTACTATAGGTGTGTAAAATAATCATTTGAGGATTTGCTTTTCGGTTGTTCAGACGAGTTTTATCTTAACTTTACATTATTTAGAACATTACAGTAGTTTATGTAGATTATAACGTCGTAAGATACACGATTTTTTCAATCAATGTGTATAAATATAGTATTTAAAAATCAATGCATATAAACACTCTTGTTTTTCTAATTTCAGATTCTGATGTATGATACGCCAGGAATGCTTGTTTTAAAAAAAATAGGTGTTTCGGGGGACGAGAAGACGTCCATCCTGGTCTTGAGCCACAGGATCTTCCCACCTCCCCCTCCGAAAAATAAGTAAAAGGAGTTAGGGTTGGGTGGCCTGCTCGCAGCATCCCGATTTAAGAGTTCATGAATATATTATATGATTGTATTTTTGTATGTGTATACTTTATTGTAAATTCAAACATTGAATAAAGGAGTGATTATTATTTAAATTTAAGAGGCATTTTTTTTGTAAATTTTTCTCGTTTTTGTTTTTGTAGAACAATTAAAGTAACAGGGTCATTTTATCACTTTAATAATGTGCCGATAACATGATTGTGTCTAACAGTTAAGTTTTCTTTGTGAATTAGATTGTTCATTTAAAGTTTGTATGGGTCTCCATTTTTGTTAGTAACTGTTAACGACCTATATGCCTGCCATGAATTACATCTAAAGAGTAAATATGTTTGTTGTTTTGTTTTTCCGTTGAATGATACGAAATCAGTTTAAGTTTAACCTGTCATTTGTTAATCTTTTGTGTATAATGTCATAGTGGTTTTGATACGAATAAGTTATGTTTCTTACTGTGTATAAACTCGTCAAATAAACGGCTTGAACAATCGCTCTGAGCCAATTGCATATAAATTGTTTATTTTTTTTTTGTTGTAGTGTAGTATATGTAAGTTGGCGGGCTTAAGCTTGTAAATGATTTATACTCGGTTTAAAGAATTGAATAAGAGCATAATTATTATATATTAGTATCTTCCCGTACTTACCTTTTTCGTATATATTTTCTTTTTGTATTTGAACCACAAATTACATTTTTTCATGTATATAGCTACATTGTTGTTGTAATATTAATGTAATGAATTCTGTTGTTGTTGTAGTAGTAAAATATAATGGTTAATGTATGTGCATAATTATTTATAAGCAATATATATATACACGTTTCATGTTCCTATAGTCATTTTATTATCCTTATACAGGCGATATTACTATTGAAGCAAAAATAGAAAATGGGAAGGATAATTAATTGATATTTTGTCTTTATTTTTCCAGGCTGAACATTTTTATAAAAAGCAAATGTGTCACAATATCTATGAAACATAAAGTAATTGACTGGAATTGAAATACAAGGGGAAGCAATATAAATAAAAATCATGCATTACTAGTATTTAGGAGGAAACATAAATCAATAGGAAAATATGAATTAATATATACATTAATCAACATATTTTGTTTACAAAATTTCATTTGGGGTAAGTACGGGACGTAAAGGCGTGTAACTTAAGATTAAGGCGGTAACTTCCCTCACAATGAGGTAACATCCTACAAATTTAATGATTAAATGTAAAGGCTTCCATAGTGTATGTGTCAAATTTCATTATGAAACATAAAATCAATCAAGAGCTTTTTACATTTATATCACATTCTTTAAAATTATGGCATATCGTTAGTGAACATAACATAGACGCAAATATATTGTCTTGAAGATGATCTACGCTCTCTTTAGGTAACATATCTTTATTGCAGAAATTTATTGAAATCTAAAAAATCGTTACTGAAATTTTCTAATTTGAACAATAAAATGAAAACAAAATCTGTTTGGGAAGCTGCATCCCGTTTACTGGTCAAGTTAAATTAATTGTTGCATTTGAATGTCATATATTCATTCTGTATTACTTATAGTTTAAGTAGAGTTTAAAGCGTCAAAATATGCAAAAATAGCACTAACTGCGCAAGTCACGCAGTAGAAAAATTATGATAAATAATGCCATAACTCGCATACTTTAATCTTGAAATATTTGACTATTCTTAAAATCTTAGTACATTTGTTCTCAAGTTTGATCTTTTTGGGCATACAGCTTTAAATGCTAAATGAAATTATCATTATCTAAAATTGCTTGAAGCAATAATTATGATTAAAAGTATAAACATTAGTAAAACATATGATGGCGTATCTTTCTAATCATCTTGATTACAAATACATGTATAATAAAAAATAGAAAACAAAATGTTATTTCATACTGACTAAATCTTATGGTATATTTTAAGTATGCATTATAAATTTCTGAGATTTCAACAAAGCTCTAATGTAAATACACAGTATTTTTTCCACTGCTTACAACAAAAACTTGGCCATTTATTCTGACAATAGCTTCCTTTCTAATGAATTGATTGTTATTTCTTATTCAAATGTACATTTGTTAAATATGCTATTCTAAATATCCAACACATACAAAAATGATTGTATGTAAGTATAAAGTCTTTGTTGAAGTAAAACGTATGTACAGTAATTTAATCAGCGATAATGTAAGTGAGAACAATGGTTGATGAAGTCACGCCTGCTTGTATACCAGGATGGAGTTTCCATAATAATTACTTAGATACAACGTGGAAGTTGCTTCATTAAAACAGACAGACTGCAAACTATCAAGCCTATCTTTCTCAATCGACAAGATTTTAATTTTTCTGCAATCTTGCGAAACTAGATGTAAGGTATTATTTTCACTGCTACAAGCAAGAACTGAACCATCCTCACAAACGGTAAATGACCTCGGAAAATGAAAACGTTCGTCCTGATAAGTGGCAAGTAATTTCCCATCAAACGAAAATTTCATCAACGAAGACCATCTATAATCTGATACAAAGAAACTACTCCCACACACGTTAACTTCTACAAAACCAGGCCAACCTAAAGTAGCAGCTCTAATATTTCGGACAACCACTCCCTCCAGTGTAAATATTTGAAGTTTTGGTGGTTCGACAAAAGATACCACTAATGTATTCTGGTAGTGAGCTATCCCTCTACATTCTCCGTTGACATTTATTTCTCTGATTCGTATCAATCTCTTGTCTGTAATAAAGAGGAAACAAACCTTCTTAATATCAGGTAATGTTACTGCAATCTCGTTGGTGGCTACGAACGTTATATCCCACGGACTAGATTTCAAGAGAATTTGTGATGAAATACAGTTGTGTGTTATGTCTACCACTTTAACGGAACTGTTTGCATTATCTACGCATAAAAGTGCATCTGGTGATAAAAGAAGCATGTTTGAAATAAGGGCATTTGAATGAACAATAGTTTCACTATCGAATATTGGTTTAAATTCAGCAATGCTGCATTCCTTTGAAGGATTGTAAAAAACTATTTTTGAAGACAGCTTTCCCAGAGGGCAGCTTCCAGAAACTATTGCGTTCAGTTCACTGTTACGTACAAACTTATACTCAGTAAATGCTGTATTTACATTTTGTTTCATGTCATGCTCTAAATGACTCAGGCGAGTTTCTGTTTGCTTTGCTACAACAAACAGGTCAGTGATTTTCTTTGACTGTGAATTTAAACATTCAGCAATGTCATTTAGTTCAGACTTGATAGTTTTCAGGAAATCCTCATTTTTGGTTATAGTATTTTCATTTTCTTTCCTGAGATGTTCACATTCCTTTAGTATTGATTGTTCCATCTTGCTTAGATAATCTTCAATCTCCTTTCGGAACCTTTTGATTTCTTGAACTGCAAACACAAATTCTTAAGCACATGTTTCCCTGCCTGTCCCTGTTGCCATTATCTTGGAATCAACCTTTGTTTGGAGTTTCTCGAGTCTATCAAGAATAGCTTTATATGCCTCGCCGTTGATGAATTCGTCAGCTATATCTGGGATAAACTCAACATGACATGCCTTGTGGTCAATTACCATACAATTACCGCACCCAACTGTATCATGATCACTGCAGAAGTACTTGATAATCTTTAATTTGTGTTTCTCGCAGGTTTCAGTACATAGTCGTTTGACAATTTGTGGTTCAACATTCTTCGGCATAGTAGCCTTATCCAGAATAGTATGATGTTTACTGACAGTTACTTTGCGATGATATTTGATACACGTTTTACATAGATACTCCTGGCAGTTCTGACAGAAACCATCGGCTTCTAAACTCTCACCGTCAGCTTTACAAGGTTGACATACTTTACAACTTTGAGATGACCCCGAAGATGAAATTTGAACTTGATGTTTATTTTCCTTCTTTCCCGAAACCTCCATTTTATGCACTATTTATAGCGGTGGTTTAGAACGGTTTGTTTGCTATTGAATAATTTTTTGACCTATCCTATTTCTCATGTTATCGTGTATAAGTCCAATATAATAAAACTTTCGTCTACAGATTTACGTAAGACAATTTTTAATTCATTACGATTTTATTCTTAAAAAATGCAATTTCTCTAGCCGTTCAAGTACTTACTTGTCGACAATATATAATCGCGCATATCAACCAAGGCTTTCGGTTGTTTTCGTACAACTCCGGGTTAGAAGATTATTGATTATAGTATATTTTTATTTATGTCGTCTTTTGAAATGTCATAAAAGTATGCGTATATACAAAACAACATGTAGTTCAAAATGAAATTCGATACGTGTTGAAATACACTTAATATACAAAAGTAAAGGAGAACTCCGGTTAAGAAGATTATTGATTGATATTGACTAGACAAAGTGTATTCATAGGTAATCTTGAATGCTTATCTTTGTCGTCTGAAATTATGAGTATATAAATACAGTACTACATGTACTTCAAAATGAAATACAAAACGTATTAAGATAGGCATATCCAAAAGTAAAGGAGATCAGAATTGATGTACATTGTTGTATAATTATTCGCGACTTGAGTCCAAATGAACAGGAATATAATTATAAAGCATTGAAACGATAAAACGTGCATTATCATACTTTATTATAACTCACGTAAACTCTTTACTTATATATATAGCCTAATGTGTACCAATTGTAAAGCCTTGAATAGCCTAAAACACGATGCGTTGTTTTTTTATACTCAGTACGTACGAGAAATCGAGCATTTTCCCGCCAATATTTCATACACTATGAGCATGCAGCAAATAAACAGACGACAGTTTGCCGACTTTAAAAAAGAAATGATAAAATACAATTACAAATTGTTAATGAATCAATATTCAACTCAAATGGTCCGAAACCTATGGAACGCCACAGCTGCCTCATGTTGTTACATTTTATTTCATTTTTCCCTAAAAGCGTCTTATTTCACGGCGTCTCAACGCCGTGATATTGTGATGGGTAGTTTTCGGTAGCATGGGCAAAAGTCACGTGACAAAATGCCTTTCGATTTCTACAGCCGACATTTTATTGGTTTTACGCAATCATTGTACAGCCCATTTCTGTGAAAAGTTACATAGAAACAGTTTTTTTTTCAAAACCATATAGAATCTAAACAGTATTTGTATCAACACACGAAATGTCAGCGTTTTATATTAACACATTTCCGGTTATCCTTTCGACATGCTTGAGAAATTCGCCTTGAATGGATAATGTATGGTGGCTGATTTACGCCATCCGTATATTTTCGCGTCTTCGCCTCAAAATGCGAAAATGCGAACACACGAAGGGACGACACATTTTGACTAATGTGTTCTCATGTCGGATCTATGTGTCTCTCAGAGTGAATCACGTGTAAAATGTCTTTGAACATTACATTCCTAAGTTTCTATATTTGCAATAAAGAACTTAAATTGTCTTTTTTTTTTAAATAATTTCATTTTCTTTGCGCAATTCTCTAAAATGAGACTGAGTTTTTCAATATGCGTTTCACAATAAACATTCACCATACCAGGTTGTAAAATAACTTAATTTGGTCCTTAACCCTTTCCCCCATGAGCATATTGTGAAAAATGGCCGTTTTCACTGAAAAGCCTCCTGTTACAAGTTCAAACTGCTATGAAACTATGAAAAATGCTTCAATACTAATCAAACTTGGCACAAATGTTGACTGGACTATTGCCTTTGTAACGACATGCTCAGTCTTAAATTTCCCGTTACCATGGCAACGAGGGGACATCTCAAAATTGCCAAAAATCACTATTTTGCCTCGATTTTTTCCATCAAAATTTATTTCAAAGTGCTGCAACTTCTCAAGGGATTGAGTTAGAGTTAAAGGCTTTTCAGCGTTGGTTACACGTTACCTTATGATTGACCTGGGGTAATTTTTAGCCTCTGACAAGTCCAAAATTTTCTTCGCGATGAGGGGGACTCCGCGTTGTTTCGCGTATACATGAGGTAAAGGGTTAAATCAGTTTTTACCACAACATCAAACTTCATTCAGAATTCATGTCTCGTTATTGTGAGCAAAATTCTGAGTTTCCTTTAGATATGAGCAAGAAAATGTTTTATTATCCTCCGCCGAAAAGACGGTGGGGGATATAGAATTAGTCTCCATCCGTCCGTCTGTCCTTCCGTCCGCCTCTATACATTTTTGTCCGGAGCATGTCTCAAAAAGTATCAATTTGAAACTTCATAGGTGGAGGTAACAACTTGAAACTTCATTGGTGGATAAATCATATTTAGGAAAGTGCAGTGCACAAGAATGATAACTCTACGCTGCATATTTTTTTCATTATTGCCCTTTGTTATTCTTCAAACTCAATCTTTGTCCACAGCATAACTCGAAAAGCCTTTGAGATATCAACATGAAACTTCATAGTTGGATAGATCTCACTCAGGAGGTGTGCAATGTGATAACTCTACCATTCCTAAATTTTGAGTTATTGCCCTTTGTTAATTTTCATGCTTAATTTTTCACCTGAGTGGAGCATTATTTAACTAAAAAAAAACAAAACTTTAAGATGTCAATGTAATCTTCATAGGTAGATAGATCTTTTTCAGGATGAAAGTTGTGAGAAAGAATGATAACTCTACCCTTTATAATTTTTGAGTTATTGTCATTTGTTATTTTCATACTTTTTGTGCGGAGAATATCTAAAAAAGTGTTAGAGGTAACAACTTGAAACTTCATAGGTAGATAGCTCTTTTTGATGAGAAGTGCAGCACACTAGAATGATAACTAACCGTGCATTATTTTTCAGTTATTGCCCTTTGTTATTTTTCATACTTAATTTTGTCCAGGGTGTAACTACAAAAGCCTTTGAGATATGTACATGAACCTTCAAAGGTGGATAGATCTCACTCAGGAGGTATGCAGTGCAAAAGAGTGATAACTCTATCCTTCATAATTTTTAGTTATTGCCCTTTGTTATTTTTCATACTAATTTTTTCACCTGAGTGGAGCATATCTCTGAAATAGTCTTTGAAATGTCAACATGAAACTTCATACGTGGAGGAGGAATGTTGTGCGCAAGAATGATAACTCTATCTTTTATAATGTTTGAGTTATCGCCATTTGCTATTAGCTCACCAGAGCCGAAGGCTCAGGGTGAGCTATTAGTATCAAAGGGTGATACTCCGGCGTCCGGCGTCCGTTGTCATGCGTCAACAATTGTCTTCTTCTCTGAAACTGCTGGGCAGATTTACTTCGACCTAAAACGTACCTAGCCCTTTGGTCTGAAGCATGCTTGTGACAGTCACACTTGAATTTGCTCATGTCATTTCAATTGGCCCCTTTTAGGGGTCAGCAGAGCTAAAAATAGAAAAACCTTTAAACATCTTCTTCTACAGAACCAACGGATGGATGATCACCAAACTTTGTCTGTAGCATTCTTGGGTAGTCTTTTATCAAGTTTGCTCATATGAATTTGATTGGCCCCTTTTAGGGGCCACTAAAGCTAAAAATAGAAATATCATTAAACGTCTCTTTCTACAGAACTAATGGATGGATCAAACTTTGTCTGAAGCATTCTTGGGTAGTCTTTTATCAAGTTTGCTCATGTCATTTCAATTGGCCCCTTTTAGGGGTCAGCAGAGCTAAAAATAGAAAAACCTTTAAACATCTTCTTCTACAGAACTAATGGATGGATGATCACCAAACTTTGTCTGTAGCATTCTTGAGTAGTGTTTTATCAAGTTTGCTCATATTCATTTGATTGGCCCCTTTTAGGGGCTGCTAAAGCTAAAAATAGAAATACCTTTAAACGTCTCTTTCTACAGAACTAATGTAGCATTCTTGGGTAGTCTTTTATCAAGTTTGCTCATATGAATTGATTGGCCCCTTTTAGGGGCCACTAAAGATAAAAATAGAAAAATATTTAAAGAATGTATAATTATCTATGGAAGCTGTGTGCCTTATTACGGGTCTAATAAAATTGGTCTTTTCTTAAAAAATAAGTGCCTGTTTTTTAATGACACTTTATATTTATATTGTAACCTCCTTTAGTTTGTAGAATTTAAAACACACCTTTGTATGAAGTTGAAACATGTTTATTTTATATTTACAAAGAGACTGTATAGCAATTATAAGTATGATCAAATATGAAATTTGATGAAAGGGAAACAACCTATGTTGGAATGTCTTTCATAAATGTGATCTGTTACGCAATTATTCTAAGCTGGGAGTAATGACCTGTTTGCTGATGAAATTTTTTGAGGTCATGACCAATGGGGAGAGAAAAATTGATATTTACAAAATCACTTGAACTTAATGATTAACAACAAACTTTATAGTGATGATTTATCATAAATGCTTTCAGAAATAGGTAATACTTAACTGTAAAGGTAGTATACAGCTATGTTATACAGTAAATGCTTTTTTTCAAGTTTGAATACTTTCACATTGAATCAATTATTATGCTTTGTATCTGAACTGTTAACATATCTGCACATAGTTTTTCATTTTACTTGCTAAAATAAAACCCTGATCCCAAAACTCACTAGACATGCACTATGGCAAAGTTCAATGGTATTGTTGTAAAGTTGGATTCCAACTACAACAGGTTATATAATAATTACATAATATTGTATAATATTACTAAAGGAGTAAATCATATATAATCTTCATACATATTTTTCAAGAAATATTAAGGGTTTAAACTTTAACTGAGATTTAAGTTTATTTTAAAGTTTAATCATATTGAATATTGTATTGTTTTACAGACATTTCATTCTTATCATTCATTAGTTTAATGTTGATTATAGTTTGTAGAACTTATTGATACACTCATTAACAGTTAACTTAGCATGGCCTAAGACTCTTTATATACAACATATAGAGAATGGTTCTACTTTTAATTACACTGGCCTTTAAACTTAGTAGAGATACAAGTTACTGATTTAGCATTATATAT